GCCTGCATTATCACCCAGCGCTGGTGGAAGGGCAGAAGGTTCAGAAATGATTGATAACAGGCTGCTGTGTGCAGGAAAGCGTGGTTATGTGTTGCCTGACAGTGACAAAAGCTGGAGTGTGAGCTGAGAGCCTCACAGTCAGCTGTGAGATTTTGGAAGTTTTGGTATTCGGAAAACAAGCTTGACTTAAAAGCTTTTTGAGTGAAGAGGAAATCTGTGTACATGAAAGAGAGAGAAAAAGAGGATTTCTAGGCAGGTGAAGCTCAAGGAAATAAAGATGAATGCAAAATGCCTGGGGCTGACTCCACTTAACATGCAATTCTAATAATAAATTGGCATCTTAAATTCAACAGAAGGAGTACTATTTTTTTTGTATGTGGTAGGTTTTTTTGCACTGTTTAAGACCTTAGTATCAGTTCTTTTATTCGGTTTTATAGCTCAAAGAAACAAGTGCACTCCATGTAATGCATGTTCCTTGTGTTGTGAGTCAGTGGTCAGGCTTTTTTTTTTTTTGTTTGCCTATGAAAAGATGCCTGATGTATCTCTCTGAAAAGGCAAAAAAGGAGATCTAACTTCTGTTTTCAGAAGTTTGAAAGGATAGTAATAGGAAATGTGTACCTTGTCAATGATGGCATTATTTCCCAATAAGCTGTTCCTTCTGAGGTCACCATGGGGTAACAAATAAATCCTGACAGAGCAACAGTGTTCTGCCTGGCTGTGTCACGAAATACAGGAGTATTTCAGCTAAATGCTGACACTTCTAATTATGGTGGCTTACAGAGACTGGGAGCTCTTCGTCTAGGCCTACCTCATGGCTTTCGTTGCCTTTTAAAAAGGCTCAAGCTATGTGGAATATTCTACTATATAGCACTGTCTTTAAGGCCAGATACATTACAATAATTAAAAAAAATGTGCATTGCGTTTTTTGTTGGGCGTTGAGGCATGTGAGGCTGGGTTTTAAAAGCAGTGTCTTTTATTCTGTAGTAATGTTGAGTCTGCACATGGAATGAGTGAGTACCATTTAGTTCTCTGGAAGTGCTCAGACTGCTATACTGAGCTACAGTCCAGACCTCAATATTTACTAATGTTGACTTAGTCTAACACTTGGCAGCTGATGCTGTTCAGGGAATCAAGAATGTAGTTGTGGTCAGCCGTGGCACCCGTCTGATGACATGTCTCGGGCTGTAAAAGCAGAGCTAGTGCTCCAGATTGAGAATCCACCTGCTTCTGGACTGTAAATTTATTTGTGCTCCAGTCTGTGGGGTGCTCTGAGGTTTGCTGTCGATGATGCAGCTTGGCAGATGAACAGCGGTGCACTGGCACCGGCTCGCAGACCTGTTTTACCGGAGTGAGTGACAGTCTGGGAGTTCCCCTGTCACAGCATGAAATCCTAGTCCTCAGGCAGCTGAGCAAAGGGACTTCGGAGCGGGCTGTTAAAGCAGATCTTTTCATAGCGTTCTTTTGCTCCTTCCAGGTATATAAATGCAGCAATGTTCTGCAAATAAATTCATTTTTAAGAACTTCCTGATGCTCAAAGGATTTTTTGTAATTCCGTGATGGGTTTTCCACATTTGCATTTTTGGGAAAACCGCTGTCTGCTTCTTTCATGTTTCATAAGTGATGACTGGGTTTATACCATTAGTGAGTGTGACAGGGGAAAGAAAATCTCTGTAGCAGACGCGAGTTAAGATATGGCTCTATTACAAACTCTGCTGCAAGCTGCCCTAGGTAAAAGCAGTGTGATGCATCTGTCCCACTGCCAGAATGATCTATAAATGTTGAATACCGAGACATTGTTTAGATCTGTCCCGTTCAAGCCTGTTAACTTATGAATCTCTGTTCCTAGTTACAGTAGTACTTGGCAGCAGCGGGCAGGGGCATGGAGTGAGGCAGATAGAAAGAGAAAAATGTAAAATATAGCAAATTCCCAAACTTCTACAGTTAATATTTTTAGTGAATGCCTCACCGTTTCTTTGTGTTGACCGTCTGCTGTTTTCACTCCTCTTTCTCTGCAAGCCTGATATTTTTCTCCCATCTGTCGCTTTCTCCTCAGCTGTAATGACGGGACAGAGGTACTGCCTCATAAGTCTGCATCTTCTCAGAACTTGTGTTAAAGCAACCTCATTGCTCCATTCCTCCCCAGCAGTATGTGTGTATTCGTGTTTCTTTCTCATCTCCCCTTCCCCCGTTCTGTCTGTGTTGTGTATAGATATATGTGTACAGTAGCGTGTTATCTCCGATGATCTAAGTAGAAACACTACATAAACAACATATGAAATAGTCAATGTTGATCCATACATGTATACACATATATATGTATATGTACTTATGAAAATATGTAGGTTTTGGATGCCTAGTACCTTTCACTGTACAAGATTATTTGTATGGTCTCTTTATGATGTGAAATAACACGTTATTCATTGTAGCTGGGCCTTCAAACTCTGCAAGGAAAGCTTTTTAACAAAAATCCACAACATTTTCTTCATTTGTGCTTTGAACTGTTTAAAAATGTCATTTCTGTTGAATGTTTTCCTCAGGAGATATTTTGAGTATGTTAAAATATTATCTAGAGAGAAGAAGTAGCAAGAATAGCATCTGCTATACTTGGAGGGTCTGAGAACATCGACCTGAGTCCACCCACTGCAGGTCACTGCCTTCCTCTCCTGATGTGCAGGCTGCAGTGTGAAAAGTTCATGGTACAGTCTACTGCCGGAGGAGAGAAGAAAGCAAATATTATTGTTAATGGTTTACTGTTTTCTTTTAGCGGAACCAGCCTTGGAAATTTGTACCAGAATCCCTCCTAGAACAGATGACTTTGTAATTTAAACAATTTCTTTTTTTTTTCCCCCTTCAAGTTAAGAAATACCAGCACATTCCCTGTGTGTGCAACTCAGTTCTTGTCATCTCTGCAAATGCTTTGTGATGTAGTCTTTGGATTTTAATATTCTTAGCAACAAACTATTTTTTTCCCCAAAATATAGTTTTCTCTTTTAGTGCGTTGGTTAGACACGAGACTAAGAATTGCTTTGTCGTGGTACTCACATAATGCCCAGTACACGGAGCAGGCCGAGCACGCCAAGGTCATCCACATTGCTGGATATTACAAAAATCCACTTGCTACTCAGATTAAGAGCTCTCACAGGACATGATAAGGGATTTAATACATGTGAAAACTGCAGCAGGGTGGCAGGGAGCTATTTGTTCTCCATGCACGTACTGAATAGGGCAAGAAGTGCTGGGCTTAAAATTGCAGCAAGAAAGATTAAGATTCTTCTTTAAGCAAAACTTTCCAAAGACAAAGTCAGTACAGGGCTGAGATAGTTTGTGTGCAGAGACCATACATTTTTTGAATTCTTTAACAGATTAGATAAATACCTGTCAGGGACCAAGTATTGATTCCTATCTTGAACCTTGCCCTTTCCAATGCAACAAATTAAAGCTCGGTGTGTAGAAGAGCTCAGCTGGAGATACGCGATGTTGAAGTGAGCTGGGGTGAAACCAGCCCTGCCTCTGCCTAGTACATCCAGGCTGGTTGAAGGAAAGATTTGGTTCATACTATGGCACAATGCAGGAACTTCATCTTCATCCCCAGTACAGCTCCAGGGCTTTATCTAAGCCTGTGCCTGCCAACATGCTTGCATGCAAGTGGTGTGATGGCAGGAGGGTCTGGCTTGGACCTGTGTTTGGTTGCTAGTCTTTTTGTATCTCTTAGGGTTACCCTGGCTGCTATCAACCTGTGTTTTCCAAATTTTGAAAGTTTAGTTGCAAACATTCTTTTCAATATAGTATTTTTGCAACATGTGTTGCCACATAGCTGGCAAGGTTTGATACTCTGTGGTATTTCCACAGCATTCTGCTTCCCCAACAGTTCCACTGAGTTCAGATCATGCTGTTGAGTTCAGCGGATGTAACTGAAGCAGAAGGTTTTTCCCCACAGCAATAAAGGATGTAAAGTGACATTAATCCCAATCATGAGCTGTGCTTTTAAAACAACAAGCAACCATGATTAGTTTAAACACTTACTGTTTTATTTTGAAATTTGTTTGTTGTTTTTCCTTTTTTGTTATCAACAATGAAGAAGATGCTTTCTACAAAAATCTATTTGTCTTATTTACTAAGACATAAATCATAAAGTAAGGAGAAGTACAGGAGAAGAGAAACAAGTACACAGTTTTGTCAACTGCTCTTTGCTGGTTTTCTTTAAGCCCAGCTCCAACAGTGATGTGGTTACATGAGAACTTGTGGCTTCTTGAAAATCTATGTGTCTGGAGGCTGAAGATCCAGAAGTAAAATAGAAAGAATGTCAACTGTTGATTTTATAATGTGGGATTATTTTTAGGCTTGTTCTCATTACATTTTAGGGAACCTGCCCTTTTTTATTTTGAGTCCTTGAATATACTGAAATTTTGAAGATGTTTTAAAAGAGAATGTGCTTAGAAGTAAGGGAGTTTGAAATAGAAAATGCTAGTTTTAAGTCAGAAGATGCATTACTGGAAAAGTATCATATATTCCTAGTAAGCTACACGGCGCTGGGAATCCATTTCAGCAAGGACTATGTATCTCTGGGATGTGAAGAAAGGCGTACTTAAAATATTGTCAGGAGAAGAGGCCAAAGGTATTCCTTGGTTTCTTACAGGAGGCTGGGGCCCCTCTTAGCAGGCAGATTCACAGGTTAATGAGGAGTTCAGGTTTTAGGCCATTCATCACAAGTTTCAAAACGACTTTCTTCCTTTCTCCACCTATCAGGCACACAGCTGCTCGGTTAAACACTTGGTGTGGCGTGGCAAGATTCAGCCTGTGAAGTTGTGCTATCCGTTGTGGGCAGGAGGATTCCCAGATCAAGACCTTTAGCAAACAGCAGCAGCTTCTTTGCACGTTGAACTTGGAGGACTGACCTAACTGAAACCGCGAGCTGGCGAGAGGGTTATTCACTTGCTGAAAAGGGTCTGATAGGTTATGACACTTCCCACCCCACTCCTCTGACCAATTCTGTCTCGCAGGCAGGAATGGCATCTCCTGAAAATCCCGAGCAGCTGATCATCGCGCTGGAACCTGAGGCTGCTTCCATCTACTGCCGAAAGCTCCGGCTGCACCAGATGATAGACCTGAGTAGCAGGGCGCCTGTCAATGGCTATAGCCCGAGTGACACTATTGGAACTGGATTTACGCAGGGTACTACTGCTTCTGTTGACATGCTTCTTTAGATTCGTATGTCTAAGTTTGCTTTGCCTGTGAGGGCTGTTTTCTTACCGTTTCTTGTTCTCTCTGCTCTCTGGAAATGTTTAAGGCTAGCATTGGATTGTTTTTATAAACTGTTTTGCTGTTTACTGTAATTAGACTAGGTTAGGCATTGATCCAGCAGACAGGTTTGCACACCCCTTGTTGTTGGGAATCTTGTAGGAGAGGCATGGTATTTTCACAACAGTATTTGTCTGCCTCAGTTGAAATCAATACTTCATGTTGGATCTTTTTTTGAATGTAATTTGTTGCAAACAATTATGTGTTCAATTAGCTGCGTTATTGAAGCAGTGTTAAATAACTGGATCTGCAATGAGACTTTTAGTCTGAGGTGTTCCACAGTTTTGGCAAATGCTTTTTAATGTCATCTTTACGAAATAGAATTCATTATTTTCAGTACTTCAGGAAATACAAAGTACTGGAATATAGCAATGAATTTACTTACAGAAGAGTAACTAGATATGTCACTTCTGAACCAGGATCTAACCAATGTTAATTGCTCATATAAATGCTAATGTCAATGTTTGAAGACTGACTTACAATGAGGGGCAGAGATTGGACTACACTGTAAGTCACTTGCCGAAACATTCTTCATCACCAAAGATTTTTGAGCTTGGTATCCTGCCTGATATTGGAGATAAAAAATAGGAAAATGTAGAAGGGGTAAGGTGATTGCTGCACGATGGGTCAGATTTCCAGTCTGTGTGAATTGTAACAGTTGCACTGATATTGGTGGTAGCGTGTCAGTGTATGCCAGAAGGAATTTTTCAGAAGAATTTGTATTTTATCACATTTGCTAGGTCAAAACAGTACAGGGAAATGGAAGATTAAGCTACTAAAACTATTCCTGTACTTACTAGAGGGTATTTTTTTTAGTTAGACAGAGACACTACATCATTCTCTCCAATCCATGCCTCTCCATTAGCCAGCACTTGTCAGATGTGGTCAGTGTTATGGAGCCCCACGCAGAGCACAGGATGTGATCCCTTTGCAGGATACCATCCCTTCAGGGGCTGCTCGCCTTCTGTCCCCCTCATTCATGTCCTGAATTATTCCAGTTCCATGCGATTTTACATGAACTCTCAGGCTACACAGGGATTTGCCTCTGGGAAAATAATGAAATAAAAGGGTATCTCTGTTTGGTTAAGGTTTTGAAGCTGGGCAGAATCTGGCATGTCATGGATTTCTGCTAACAGGCTTGTACTTGGACAAGGGGGTACCCTACTCCTCCTTGACTGTGTATGGTAAAGGCTATTGGGGTTGAGAAAGGTTTCATGTAAAAATTAATTAAAACAGTGTTTGGAGTGAATTAATTTGGCTTAGAATTAAAATTTCATAAAGGCATGGCAGGTACCCAAGACAAGCTGAGAACAGATTAAGGAGAAAACCCCTTTAAATATAAACAAGAGAGAGAAGCACTCCGAGGACCATATTATTGCTATGAAGTCAAAACAAAAATTTTACTGTTCATAGTAGCCAGGTTAACCTTACTTCAGTCGTAGTTAGAGACTGGCGCTTGTGTTCACTTCTAGCCCACAGGAGTGAATGAAAGAACTCCCGTTGACATCTGTGGGCTCTGTGTCAGGCCCTTGCTCGGACCTAGTGCTTGCTCTGTCATGGAATGCTTCATGGTTTGAGCTCTCTCTGTGTGCTGCTAAGTCAGTGCTGTGGGGCTAACGAGGCTTGTCCCATTCACAGGGTCCAGCAAGTGGAGCCACTGGTCTTTTTCTGACAATAGGTACTAGAGAAACGAGAAGCAAAAGGCGTGCAGTGATTTGCATGCTGATATTTTCAGAAAGAAGGATATTTTTGGGCATGACGGGTTGCCTCTCTTCTGTAGTGTTTTATAGATGTGCCTTTGAAGGTGAGTGAAGGTTACACAGGGAATGATTTTTTTTGATCAGTGGTAGGGGTTGATTAAGAAGCATACTAGCAGAGGCTTTCACTACTCTGCTTTCTCTTCACAGACTGTTATGTATCTTTTAAATTTTTAAGTAGCAAATGAGTCTTGTAAGTTAACTTAGTGTTATAATAGTATTGCTAGGTTATGCCTGATTTTTAATTGGTGTATATTTAAGCTATTATGGGGGTCAGACTTGGTGATCACTATGGCCTTAAGAAGTTACAAATCTGAGAGGCAGTGCTTTTGGCTGCTTGTTTTGAGACAGACTGATGTCCTGAAAGGCTCTGGAGGTGCCTGTGCCTGAGTGCCCAAACTCAGCAGTGATTTTGGACGTGTGGGGATCGTGTCCCAGCACAGGTGGGCCCAGCTGCGGGCTGGGGCTGCCTGTGGCTGGCTGCAAGCCTGTGTGCTTCCAGGCTGCGCTTCAGAAACCAGGATGAGTTAAAAAAAACACAGCAGACCTGTTCATAGCTTTTATATTAGGTTATTAGTTTTAATCGACTAGTGTCAAGGAAGATCAGTGTGGCTGAATAACATTTTTCCTGCTTTCTAGGAACAACGCTAGAATGTTCCCAATTCTAATGCAAAAATTTTTGTTCGTTTGTTTTATTAGGAAGTGTTACATAGAGGTCGGTCAGCCTGCTTGCACTTGTGTCCTGCACCTTATGTTATGAACTTCTTCATGCCTCCTTATACTCAGTAATTTTTTTCTCTGTCAATAACTAGCTAAGGAGCACGTCCGTCGTAATCGACAGAGTCGTACCTTTTTGGTGGAGAATGTCATAGGAGAGATCTGGTCCGAATTGGAGGAAGGTAGTGTCCTTTCTTGACCAAACTTTGCTCTCACTGGTTTTATATTGCAGGCAAACATTGCATTCCCCACAAATGTGCTGTGCGCTGCATTGTTCTCACAGTGATTATAAATAGGAAAAGAAAAAATACAAGTTCCTGTGGTGCCCTTAGTTACTAAGGCTGAGCTGCTATTCTGTATGCTCTAGCAATATATGGTTTATTAAGGAGATTGTAGAAAGGAATCGGGGTGTTAAAATGCAACCGGAAGATTTTCCTCAGAATAGACCTTATAAATATGCCATAGTATTAATTTGGTAAGCTACTGGAATGTACACTAGCAGTGTGTGCAGTTCTACTAAACCGCTTTTCATATGTGCTAAATCAATAGCTTTTGACATCTAATTTTCATATTTATTGTCAATCATTGCATTACAATTACTAAAAAAAATCAAGTCTTCAGCATAGACATTCATGACTTTCTGTAAGTCACTGTCTCTCATGGTGATAATGCCCTTGACAAGTGTTCATTGCAATGCGCTGTTGTGGTAATGTTACTGTAAATATCATTTGCCTGTTCCTTTGGGAAACTAGGTGACCGCTACATCGTTGTTGACAGTGGAGGAGGCACAGTGGATATGACTGTCCATCAAATAAGGCTCCCTGAAGGACATCTTAAGGAGCTATACAAGGCAACAGGTAATGTCACTGCCACTGCTTGCTTTGTTTATGTAATATTTTTACTTGTCAGTGAAGGAAATGTACATCCTTATTATCAACTGCATTTCAGTAACAGTTCTTCTTGAAGTAAGACCAGCATTCAGAATTAGTATAACCTAGCTGCTGATCAACTCACAAGGGTATATCACTTAATGCTTCTGATGCTTTGGGATGGTAAACCTCACACTGGACGGATAAGGAACTGCCATCTCCTGTGTTACTCACTCCCATTCAGGCCATGACCTCCTGCTGTGGTCCTGGTCTGACTTCTGCTAGCAGAGTCATCACCTTCCTGTCCTTTGAGAGGTCACCTGTGTAGTGCTGCTCTGTCCAGGTACTGAGAGATGTACTGTGGAGATACGAATAGCTGAGTGTGGCAACAAGATACCAGTAAAGTGGCTGTTCGCTGAACAGAAGGTTCCCTAGATTTAAGGGGAAGCTTATATATCCCAGTAATTTCACAGACCGGGTAACAGGGAGGGTCAACAATCCCCTGGGGAAAAATGCACAATGACTGGTCCGCAACAAAGATAGAAAGTGCAGCTGAACTCCAGATCCCCTTTGACTTTGTCCTGTGACTAAGGTGTTACCCACATGAGACAGCCTATTATTTGTTCCTGTGTCTCCACACGGAGTTAGTCTTCATCTGTATGATTCATCGCTGAGCATTCTCAGTCTTGGTGGCTGTAAGACTACCTTGGGAAACAACTTAGTAAGAGCAAATGGGATACTGTACATCAAGTCTGGTTATTCCTGAATACGAGTCCAACTCACACCTTCTCATGTGTGGATAAGGAGGCAGTTTCCTTTGCTTCTAATAAAAATGTTTCTGTTTTATAGTGGTAATGTTACAGTGGCTATGATGGTATAGGAGTAAAAGTGAAGCAAAGGTAAGATTATGTTCTGTATTAGACCAACTACTATATTTAGAAAATATACCTTTTTCTGTAGACCTTCTCCTATGGCAGTCCTAGTAGTGTCAATCTGATGTGTATTTGGTCAGCTTGAAATCTTGTAAGCAGTTCAGAATGTTAAAGCTGTGTTTTGTTTGTGATACAGGTGGACCATATGGTTCTCTAGGTGTGGACTATGAATTTGAAAAGCTCCTGTGTAAAATATTTGGAGAAGATTTTATTGAGCAATTTAAAATCAAGCGTCCTGCTGCCTGGGTAGATCTGATGATAGCGTTTGAGTCCCGTAAACGGGCAGCAGCTCCAGACAGGACCAATCCACTAAACATCACTCTGCCTTTCTCCTTCATTGACTATTACAAGAAGTTTCGAGGTCACAGTGTAGAACATGCCTTGAGGAAAAGCAAGTGAGTAGACGATTGAATCCAAATGGATGCAGAATTAACTACTGATAGCAAAGACAAATAATTAAAATATACTAATTACGTGTAGACTGAAAGATAATAATGTAAAAATGTAATATAAGGATAAAAAATTAGGATTGCCTGAGGTGCAGTTTCCAGAACGAAAAGTTCTGATCAGTCCCTTGCAAAAGCTTTTCTGTACAAGACTTGCACTCTGTTGCTTTCCATGCTTTCTGTTGGTTTCGATGACTTTTGTTAGGCCACCACTGCATCACTTTCCTGAATTTGACCATGTATTTTGAGTCTCTTACATGTTAATTAGGAAGTCAGATCAAATACAGAATTTGACATCTAGAAGTTAGTTACCTAGAACCTTAATTTAGAGAGGCCTGGACCCTGGAACAAATCCAAGATCTTGCATGTGACGTGTAAGTATATTAATGACTTGAGGGAAGTTATGAACGCACAAGATCACTGGTGAAAACATACACTATTGCGTGGAGCCCTACAGTTAGATCATTTGCTCAGGAGGTGAGGAGACATAATTCCCTACAGAGGTTTTAATTCCTGGTTGTAAGTATCAAGAAAGCACCCTAAAAGACAAGATCACGGGAAGTGAGGAGAAAGCAGAAGTGAGCATTTTGCATCTTTTGAAGTTATATTAAACTCCAGGTCTCCTATAGCATGGCATCAAAGAGAATGAACAGGAGAGCCTGCAGATCTGGCAGGATGCTTGGGACCTGAGAGCAGAAGAAGTGATATTTAGTACCTGTACCTTGGCTTATCTCTGCATTTTTTAATCCCGTGAATGTAGAATGTAGCATGCAGGCTGAAACTCCTACATCGCTTCCTGAAGTTATTGATATATGTACTTGAAGCCTAAATGACTTGGAATCCAGTTTGGAGTCGCTTCCTACATGAGACTGAGGTTCTGAAATGATTAAAAATTTCTGGAAATATTCCCTCTCACAAGACCATCTCCTTCTTATGAATAGTCTTAATGGTGAATCTTTAGGGATTTTATTTAGTATTTTTTATCTTAGGGATTTTCATTTTAGGGAATGCTAAGTGTTCACTTCAAATAAAATGGAATTAATTGGATAACTGAGTAGAAAGAGTATAAAGATGACATATTATGTGCATGAATGTAGAGGAGATTACTGAGCTATATGGATGTGCATCAGTGGTGGAATAACATAGTGCCTGGATTCACTTAGCAAATGTTATGCCGCATTAAAAATGCTGTGCTCCCTTCTGCCTTCTGAAGCTTCCCATCCTTACATGTTTTCCTCGTGTGTTTCCAGTGGCTTTGGCCTGCTGCTGCTATAATCTAAATGTTGCCCTTCTGGGGATGAATCAGTGCTGTTTCAGATGAGCGAGCACTGGATGGACTGCCAGCTGTTTCAGGGAGCAGCTGAGCGTTGGTAATGCTACAGAAGGCAATCAGGCAGAGAAAACAACAATTAGACAAGCAAAAATAACGATTCTCCCTTGAAATTTTACATTGTTGCAGTTGGTATGGGGCTAGGGTGAGGTGAGGCATTTTCTTCCAAGCAAAGTGCACACAGATTCTGTAAACTCATTGATTTATTTATTTAGTGTGTCTTGTGAGTGCTTGGCTGTTTCTTAAAGCTCAGCTGTAGTGGTTTAATGTCCTTTCTGACCGTTCTTTTCCAGTGTGGACTTTGTGAAGTGGTCCTCCCAGGGAATGCTGAGGATGAGCCCGGATGCAATGAATGCTCTTTTCAAACCTACGATTGACCAGATCGTTCAGCACCTGAGTACGTATCTGCCTGTAATTCCACTTTCCAGCTGAGCTGAAAGTGAAGCTTTGCTCACCTGTTTCAACCCAGTAGCTGGAATTCAAGTCAGACAACCTTCCTAGTACGCACCAACTGTGGACAAGGAATTTAGTTCTGAAACTTGTGGTTCTCTACAAAGTAGTTAGCAAAGTAATAACAGTAAGGTACATCACCTTAACGTGTATTCCTACCTGGCTCTAGTACTAGTTATTGAGTGTGATTCAGTCTGTTACTGCCTGAGCTTCAATTCTTCTGTACTTTCTGGATTGCAAGCATTCAGAAGGCTGAAATGCACTGTCGAACCCAGATCCTATTTTTCTTTTTCCCATTTCAGGCAAGAACTAAATAATGCAAGAGATGTAACTAGTTTCTGATTATTCTTGCCATTAAGACCTCTAGTTCATTTCTGCTCAGTGGAAGGTCACATTTGTTCATGACCGTCCAAATCACTGACATCTCTAAAACACAAATAACAAATGATGCGTCATGGTAAAAGTACTTCCAGGCATGGTTTCAGCAGCACTGAATTTATTTATCCAGTAATGGAAAGTGACATAGGCTTATTGGGAAATTTATTATTTAAAGTCTTCCTGGTAGAAGATTGGGTTTGTATCAAGTAGAGTATAATATATGTACTGAGCAAAGTATTGCTGTTCTACACATTACAAAGCATGAATTAAATCCTATTTGGAATGGAATATCCAGCTTTGCTCACTATATGTGAGGAATTATTAGGTAAATTTCAGAGGTCACAACTTAGTCAAACAGCTGCTACAGAACAGCTTATATGTGAGCAGGGAGGGAGAGCCCTAGAATTGACAATAGCTGTGGCAGATAACTCAGTCGTGCTGCCTCAGTGATTTGAACAAAGGATGAGCCTACAACTGAACTGTATGATTTTCTTGAAAGAGGAGATGTGAGCTTAAGCTAAGCAGAAACATCTGTAAAAATGTAAGGAGGTATTATTTTGCGGGTGATACTTATTGTGGTTAAGATGTTAGGGTCAGAAATAATAAGTGAATTTAAAATAGGGTGACTTATCTGGAATGCATTAAAGGGTATGTGATTCGGTTAGGTTTGGGAATATCCCACTGATACTTGCAGTGACAAGATGATGTCTGTTTCCCTGCTACTCACAATGTGACTGACAGGATTTCTTTGCAAGAAATCCCTGGCTCCCTTTACTGGTTGAAGCTAAATAAAAATTCTGTTTTAAATGCCACTTCAGAAATATGGTACGCTGTGAGGTAAGTTTCTATTCGGAGTGAAACAGAGAGTATAGGAGAGACCACAGAAGTGAAGCCAGTGCATGCTGAGAGTGGCAGTGTGGGCATAGATGTGGCGGTTTCAGATCTTGTGCATGTTCACGGGACATTCAGTGCACTCAAGCATTAGGACTTTCACCTGCATTGCCTTGTCACAGTGGATTTTCCCATATTGAATGGGCTCTGTTTCTGTTTAGGTGATGTGTTTGATAAGCCAGAAGTGACCAATGTCAAGTTTCTGTTCCTGGTGGGTGGCTTCGCCGAATCACCCTTACTCCAACAAGCTGTCCAGAGCGCTTTTGGTTCAAGATGTCGAGTCATCATTCCTCAGGATGTGGGGCTCACTATCCTCAAAGGAGCTGTTCTCTTTGGTCTAGACCCTGCTGTCATCAAAGTGCGGCGTTCACCGCTCACCTACGGTGTGGGAGTGCTCAATCGGTTTGTGGAAGGGAAGCATCCACCCGAGAAGCTGCTAATCAAAGATGGCACACGCTGGTGCACTGATGTGTTTGACAAATTTATCTCAGCCGACCAATCTGTAGCCCTTGGAGAAACTGTGACACGCAGTTACACACCTGCCAAACCTTCTCAGTTAGTAATAGTGATCAATATCTATAGCTCAGAACAAGATAATGTCAGCTTCATCACTGAATCTGGAGTGAAGAAGTGTGGCACCCTTCGCTTGGATCTCACGGGAACTGATGCTGCAGTGCCAAACCGGCGGGAGATCAAAACACTGATGCAGTTTGGGGACACTGAAATCAAAGCCATGGCCATTGATGTTGCCACCTCTAAAAGTGTCAAAGTTGGTATTGATTTCTTAAACTACTAACAGCTCATTTTCCCCACCACAGCCTGTTTGTGAGACTGAATCTTTCACTATTCCATTTTTTTGACTTTCATATGTCACATAATCAACTTGAATTTCAGCAGGCTATATGAGAACAGCTGGTAAGGTGGGGTATGTCATGTTTGTGCCCTTTGATGACCAAAGGCTGGATTTTGAAAGACCCTTAAAGAGTTTTGGGAGCGAAAGTTCCAGAGGTAGTAAAAATTCCCAAGTTACTCAAGCATGCTTAAAGATCTACCTTTATTAAGTAATTACTGATTATTGTTGAGTCCTGAAGATTAGTTATAAAGATATGAAATCGTAATCTCTTTGCCTTGTTCTTATTCATGTTCTTCTTCTTCCTCTTCCTCCCAAGAAAAACTCACTAACCCATGTTAGGGGGCATATCTGTGTGGGCTATCTGTTTAAACAGCACCATCCTCTGGCAATGGGAACAAATTAGTAGTCTATAGTATTCTTTTTTCTTCTGATTTTGCCCTGTGCTTTCAAAATTTTAAGTGCTGAAAATCAATGACTTAGAGAAACGGGAATTGAGTTTCTTAAATTCTGAGATCCTACTGAAAAGAAAATCCTCAGAAATACTTGAAATTAGATTTAGGAAATGTATATATATGTTTTAGGACCCTAATATTGATTGTTCCAATTTGAAAACAAGGCCTTCATGTCAAAGCTCTCAGAACTAGCTGTGGGATTAAATAGCTAGCATTACCATCAATGTAAATTGATGAAAATTATTAAGAACAAAACTATTTCCATTTTTGGGTCTTCTAAACTTATTTTTATTAGTCTCCATCTGAAATCATAGAATCACAGAATAGTTGAGGTTGGAGATGACATCCATGGACCTTCTGGTCCTACCTCTCAGCTCTAAGCAGTGTCAGCTAGAGCAGGATACTCTGTCCAGTTTTAAGTATCTCCAAAGGTGGAGGTGCCTAAACATCTCTGGGTGACCTGTTCCAGTATTTGACAACCCTCACTGCAGAGAAGTTTTTTCTTGTGTTTAAAAGGAATTTTTTCCGTTTCAGTTTGTAACCATTGCCTCTTGTTCCTTCACCGGATACCTCTGAGAAATCTGGCTCCATCTTCTTTACTGTCTTCTATCAGGCATTTATACACATTCCTAGCATCCCCTTCTCAAGTCTAAACAGTCTCAGCTCTCTCAGCCTCTCCTCATATCACAGATACTCCAGTCCTTTCATCATCTTCGTGACCCTTTGCTGGACTCAGTCTAGTGTCTCCATGTCTCTCTTGTACTGAGAAGTATAACACTGGACCTGCCACTCCAGATGTGGTGTCTCACCGGGGCTGAGTAAAGGGGAATAATCGCTTTGCTTGACCTGCTGGCAGTGCTCTGCCTAATGCACCCCAGGGAGCTGCTGGCTGCCTTTGTTGCAAGGGCACATTGCTGGCACACGCTTTAACTTTGTGTCTACCAAGTCCCCGAGGTCTTTTTCTGCCAAGCTGCTTCCCAGCCAGTTGGCCCGCAGTGTGTACTGGTGTGTGGGGTTGTTCCTCCCCAGGTGCGGGACTTTGCACTTCCCATAGTTGAACTTTATGAAGTTCCTGTCTGCACATTTCTCCAGCCTGTCGAGGTCTCTCTGACCCGTCTGGTTTATCAAGCACTTCTCCAAGTGGTTATATTTCCTTTCTTGTTAATCCATGTGTTAAGATTTGTCAGTACAAGTAGATGATGACTGTCCAGGAAGATTTAAACAACCTAAAAGAGAAAATGTCCACATTAAAAGTAGCATAATAAATTCTGAGTAGCAAACATTTTAATTCAGGAAAAGATATTTCTGGGTTGAGTTGAATGGCCAGTAAAGTGGAAGGCCAAGAGAAAGAAACTGCAAATAGCATTAAAGAAAGCATGCCTTACGTGGCTATGAGCACGCGACTCTAATGCAGGTGAAATACGATGATGGGCAGGGTAGCGTCTTGTTTCCCAAATAATAACTTTCTGGAAATATTTTCTTAAGCACGTTCACCTGGAAAATTTATTCTGCAACTGGAACAGTTTTTATTTTAGCAAAATGCTACAGATGTGTAACTTCTGAAACCTGCAGTCTGTATCTGCCATGAAGTGGCAAGTTCAGATTCAAGCCCAGATCCCACTCCAGATTGGCAGACTGATCCTAACCTGTAGAATCACCCTAAAATGCTGACACACTCAGAGCATTTATACAGAGCTGCCTGGTTACCTGCTGGAATTCATTACATTTTTTAAACTTTGCAATGTTAATTGTTAAACTAAATCTTCCTTTCTAATAAGTTGAGCATGAGTTAAATCCATTACTGGCACTTTTGGGACATGAAATCTTTATCAATTATTTCACTAATTTGTGTTCCAGTCCTGCACTTAAGCTTTCTGTGTTTGGCCTGGAGTTTTGCCACGGTAATGAGCTGCAGAACTGATCTGCTGCATTTTCCCATTGAATTTTCTGTGTCTCCTGCAGAATTCCCCAGCTGAATGTGAAATCTCTTCTACATTCAGCTTTAACAAAAAAAAAAAAAAAAAAAAAGGACTATGGAGAATGCTAGTCACAGTATCCGGCTGGATACTTTCTATAATTACAAACCGTGCTTGCTAGCATTCAGTTTCCTGCTGCCTGCTAAATGCTTTAAAAGCTAAATACTGGGATTTTTTTGTGTGTTGCTTTCCATGGTTTACAAACAAGAGAAACTTTAAGATGAGTTATGAACAATATAATTTTATGTATATACAATATTTAAATATTGTACAGACTCTTTCTTTCTACAGTGCTATTTTCTTGTATAAAAATGCTCTTTGCCTCTGTTGATTTTATTCAGCTGTTAATTTTAAATAACATAGTTTCTCAATCAGCTTCTGTAATTATAGGCTTTTAAAGATGTTAAGATATGAAATGTAAAAGGCTGATCTTATAATAATAGGAAAGAAATGTTGGTGTGTCAGAGAATACAACATTCTTCCTGCAATGCAAGTCATACCAGCTAAGCATATTGCACAGATGCACTGGTATGTTGCTGGGATTTTCATTTCTTTGTTTCAGATGGTGACCGTTCCATCTCCAGCAGTTCATCATAATAATGGATGAATTCTCCTGTAAAACCAAGATAAAATTAGATTGTATGATCAGGATATACAGCTTCTTCACTAGGTTTTGGGGTTTTATTAAGGATCTTCTCTAGATTAAAAAAACCCAAACACAGAACCACCTTCCAAAGCCAGGCAACACTGGTTTATTGTAGCTGCAGGTAAGACCCAGTCTTTGTCTACCACTACCATTTACCAAGAGACAAAATTCTTAAAGAAAAGTAAGCTTTGGTGTCTTTGCATCCTGTGTTAAACTTACTTGGTCCAATTCTGCACAGATTAGTTTCCAGTGGCCTTAAGTTAACACAGAATTTGGTCTAATAAACGGCTGCAACCTCCCCCTCTCCCTGCTGAAGAGGAGGTGAGCTGCAAGATCAGGTGGCCCGTGATTTTTGTGCTTGTTTTCAGCCTGTCTGTAGGGAATTCTCAGGGTAGTTTTCTGCCGCTCTGCTGAAGCATAGTTCCCTGCACAGTAGTGATTCTCTGCCCTTTCTTATTCACCTTTTGTGAGATCCCATCTGGATCCAAGCAGGGGTTTGTTGCTGAAATTACGGTAACTGTAAAATGCGGTTGCATATCTGTGCACTTCCTCCTTCAGTCTTATGAGAGCACTATCAACCTTGTCTTTGCAGAGCACTGAACTACTGAACAAACTCCTAGCTGTCCTTGTTGCCCTCTTTAAATCGAAGAATGGAAAGTTAGCTTGTCTCTCTAAGGAGTTAGAATTGTAAGTAGAATATTATGCTGTGGTCTGTAGTCTATAACCCAGTTAAACAGCTTTACCTTGTAAGTGGCATGTGAATGCCCATTTTGATAAAGGATGTTAGGCTGTAAAATTAATATGAAATTTATTAGGAGATGAGTAATTTTTAGAATAGTAGTTCTGATACTTCTGCAGGAGATTTCCTGCAGAGCATTTTTTTGGTAGGGGTTTCAGATGACATTGTGCAACTTAATCTTGAAAAGACAAGACCTGTTATCCTTAGGTAAAGCAGAAGGTCTTGGCAGAAGTTTTGCTCTAAGCAGCAACTTGCAAGTTTCGGTCCAAGTTACTTTAGGCAGAAAGTTCGCGCTAATTGTGATGGAATGACGTGCTAGAATATATTAAATGTGCAGTGATGGTTAGGAGAGTTTACATTGGTATGAATATACCAGTATTTATATACAGGAGTTTTAATGCATTATTATGAGAAGGCTAATTATATATTGCAGAGATTTAATCGCCAAGATAAGCTGCATATTTATGACATGAAGTGGCTTAAGCGGATGAATAGTATAAAAGTTGTTGGGCATAACGTCACAGTACTCACCTGCTTGAAATAGTCTTAAACTATATTATAAAACCAACCATTGTGGTCTTGTTCACCTCTGTGCAAGATAAATTCAGATTTCACTGATGTTTGGAGCTGTTCACAACTTGTCTGGGTTGTATCTTGAGTGTTCTTGTGTCTTCCACCATGTCAAATAAAATACAGTAAAACTAATTTTGCTTTTTGGGTGTTACTATTTTTATGAAAAAGGACTATAAAAAGAAACCTAATTTATTTTGAAAGTGAGACAGGCCAAGTGGTTGTACTTGCGTTTGGATACTCCTTCATACACGTAACTGAACAAAAGTGACATCAACTCAATGTGCTGCTGCTCAGATTTCTTCAGCCTTTTAGATGTGTGGACACCTGGAGTGCTGGCCAAGGGCTTGCAGGCCCCTGCGCAGCACACACAACTCTTCGACGAGAGGCCGCTGCATTTTTAGCTCACTTCTGGACTTTCTGGGGGGTCTCCATATGTGCCTGAGGTAGAAGTCCACTGCTAGGCATTACCCAGCTTCCACCGAAGCTGGTGTAGCTCAGAGTAGGGCATTGGCTGGAGTTAAGACAGAAAGACTTTGGATGAGACCAAAAGCAGATTAGGTATTTTCTGTAAA